TTTTTTTTTCTTTTCTGCCTCAGACTTCAAAAGTATTCGTACCTTTCTCCGGCATCGGACATGACTTCCTGGATAGTTTTAACCCCGAGGGTCTTCCAGAGAGCGCCGTGGACGGGGCATTTTAGACTTAAGGGCCGTCTATTGGCCCCTGTACGGGAATCTGGATGAGTCTGGATAATAAATAGCAGAAAATAATAGTTTTGCCTGGATGACCGCCGGGTCAATTTTTATCATCGTATCGGGGTCTGTAATACGATAGTACTGTACAGGGTAGGTATGGGTACATGCAGGGTACGCTAGCGGGGATCCCAGTACAAATAATAATGTTCTTTGTATGGATACAGACGCTATAAAGGGGTCAATTATAGAAAGTGATAGTAGGCGAAAAACAGCACGAAAATGATATCCACTCAGGTACTCCGAGTAGACTCAGAGTGCTTCGTCATCACCTCGAGGCTTGTTTAGTCCGTGGTTGTAAGTACCATACGGAACGGTAACAGACCTCTGAACCGGCAAAGATCGCCGGTTATCTGTGACAATACGCTGAATAAGCGGAAGCTAGCCGGTGCCGGTAGGGACTGCGCTAGTCTGGTTTGGGATTAGTGCATATAGTATAATGAAGGTTATTGGGTGAGTGGAAATGGCCCAAAGTATGGATGTACTTCGGAGATTCTTCTTCTTCTTCTCCTGGTAGGATTATGAGTCCCTTTTTTTTTCTTCGGGTGGGAGAAGATGAATACGGAGCACGATAAAAGAAAGAAGAGAGAGAATATTGAAGAATAGCAGCCAATCGTTTCATTCATTCCTTACAGAGGCACTATACACTATCAGCGAATTCAACTAACAAGAATACTACTGACTGCTGCCCCACTGGTCGAGCTTCTGGAGAAGACAGACCCTGGAGTTTCAAGATAGCGTCAGTTCGTGTCGGCTTTTATTTTATTTTTATTCTCGCTTTTCTTTTCTTCTGCGCATCGCCTTCTTTGCGTCGTGTCGTTTGTTCTTCTATTTTTATTGACGGCCGTCGCTGCGTGCATACATATACCGGCATTACTCCTGCAGAGTCCGAGTCCATCTCACTCCATCTATACAGTTACACAAGCAAGCATTATATAAACAGTACGCTGACTTGATTGTCAATGCATGAACTCGACTGACCTTTGCAGATATCAACCATCATGATCATGGCCTCCAGGCCCAACTTTGTCTCCATCCTCAACAATGACGACCATCCGTCTTTTACCGTCCGTTCGAGCCCCCGGTTGATCAGACATCATTCCTCCTCTTCCTTCGATCCTGTTACTGAAGCGGCCCGCGCTCCTTCGCCTGGATCGTCCGTGTGTTCCTACGACTATGCCACTAGTAGCTGTGGCTCCTACTTCCAACCTAATCCCTCCTCTGCCTCCGATTCCTACTTTCCTCCGATTTCCTCGATTGCCCCATCCGAGCATCATCGCAGCGCTACCTCCGCAGACCCTCCCTCGCCGTCGTCCATCGGTGCCTCCAAGGACTCTCCTTCGACTTCGACCATCTCCTCTTCCTTCTCCTCTACCACCACCACCACCACAACCGCAACCACCGCAAATGCCAAGCGAGGCGTTCGGAAGAACAAATACCCTTGTCCATACGCCGCGAGCCACAATTGTTCCTCCACATTCACCACCTCGGGGCACGCAGCACGGCATGGCAAGAAACATACGGGCGAGAAGAGCGTGCATTGTCCGATCTGCAACAAGGCGTTTACCAGAAAGGATAATATGAAGCAACATATCCGGACGCATCGGAACCATTCAGAGGAGAACACAACTCCAGGTGCGGGTGCAGGGACAGGGAGGGAGAGCGGTGCTAGTACCCCGACGAGCGGGTGGTCAGCCCGGAGGACGAGCCCGGCGGCGTATCATCAGCATCAGCATCATCGGTCGATAAGTCAGTCGGAGGGGAGGGAGTTTCTGAGTGTCAGACATGCGCCATATTGAGAAACATTTGACTGAATGAGTTACGGCAAAAGAGTGATGGAGATTATGAAGTGGATGAGTGAAAAGTGGTCATTCCTTTCGTTTATCGTTACCTGGTTGGGATTTTTGAAGCGTTCTGTTGGTTTCTGGCGCATGTTGAGCAAATGTCTGCATTTCTGTCTTATATACCATTGTTTGTATACCAGTCTGTTTTTTTTTTTTTTTTTTTTTGTTTCTTTTGTGATTCCCGATTGATGCCTGATTCCCTGTCTGCGATTCCTCGACTCCTTTTTATTTCTTTTATTTTTTTTATTGTGTATGTTTGTATGACAATGAACCATGGAACCAGCGAACCACTGTTGGACGGATACCATGGATCCATCTAGACTATCTTATCTCGATATATCTCTAAACTACAAGTAGATGCTCAATACCTGTATGTCTGTATGTCTATATGCTGATCTGTATGTGTCTGTAAATGCCCTGCAATGCACATCAATTAAGTTTGTATGATGTAAATCCCCAGCAACAGGATGTGTCATTGCTCATTCACTGAGTTCAGTTCTTTTGCTTGTTCCGTCTTTCCCTCCCGTTCATTTCTCTTCTTTTGTGCTGTTTGTTCTTCATTCCTCAGCCTCCATCTTTAACCAATCGACGTCATCGCCCCGCCTCGCCACTTTTCTGCTTTCCTATTTCAATCCTCCATCTCATCTCATCATCTCACCTCATCATCTCTCTTACATCCGTTTATCTTATTCCAACTTTGAAAACGAAAATGGCATACTACGACCGCCACTATTACCCACCCCGCGATCGCAACCCCCCTCCCTACCAAGGCACCATGGACGTCGTCCCCGGCCGAGGTAGTCACGACTCCATCCCTCGCAGCAAGTACCCTTCCAACTACGACTACTACGGGGGCTACGGCCACAGCCACAGCCACAGCAACGGCAGTGGCCATGGACATGGCTATCCCCCAACTCATTCACGGCATCCGTCCCGCGTAGCTACTATTCAGGAGGGTTCTCGTCGGCCGCACAGCAGTTACTACGATGGGTATGATGACCATGGTCATCGTCGACGACACCGTCACCATCGCTCCAAAAATGATTACTACGATGACCGTGGTCGCTCTCATCGGCATCGCAAGGCGTACTCTGTTTCGCCGTCTCCGAGCCGTGGCCGATCTCGCAGCCGCGCCCGCGGAAGCAAGAAGAGTACCCGCAGCAAGAGCGAGGACAAAATGCAACAAGCCATCCGTGCAGCCATCACAGCCGGTGCCATTGAGGCATTCCGCGTCCGCAACGAACCAGGTGAATGGAAAGGTGAAAAGGGAAAACGCATCCTCACTGCCGCGATAACGGCCGGTGGTGCGGATGGACTCGTTGACACAGACCCCCGCAAGCACGAGAAGAGACATATCATCGAGTCTACACTGGCGGGTCTTGCTACGAACCATTTCGTGAACGGGCCGCGGTCGAGATCGAGGCCAAGGTCTCGTGATGGCGGCCATGGTCATGGGCGCGGTCGCTCCAAGAGCCATGACCGAGGGAAGGAACTTGCGGCGGCAGGACTGGTCGCCGCGGCGGGGAAGAAGGCGTATGATCATTACCGGTCCAAGTCCCGTCCTCGTGGAGGTGGTGGAGGTGGACGGCCCCCTTCGCGAGGCCGTGCATACTCGGACGAAGGTGGATACGAGAGCTATGACGGATCGCCCCGTCCTTCCCGCGGCTCTAAGAAGCGAAGCAAGAGTGTCTCCGATTACATCAACAAGGGTCTCGCCTCGTTGGGCATTGAAGACTCGAAGGACAATGACAGCCACAGCCACAGCCACAGGGGTAGTGACAGGGACGGCAGGGACCATGATCGGCGCCGTAGGCACCATCATCACCGCCGTCGATCCTCGCCTCCTCCCTCCGACGGCTCGTATTCCAATGATAGCGGAACTGCAAGTGATGATTCCAGACGTCGTTAGAAGAGTCCCCCCCCCGAGACGGACCCATAAAGAGGTAAGATAAGACCATACTCTGTTCCTGGCACCGACCCACTTGGACCCTTGGATCTGCAAGGGTTCGTTCCGAGTTTCGAGCTTGAGGCTAATTTGTGCAGTACCGTTAACCGTTGAACCCCTGGTATGATGGAATTCTCCTAGGGCAGGTATTCTCCTAGGGCAGGATGGATTGGTCATGATTTATGATATCATATGCTATGGTATTTTGATCTGATGATTTATGACATGATGACATGATAATGCTATGTATGCTATTTTATGTTATGCTTTATTATGGATAAATAGAACAAATTGAATTAAATGATGGAAATGGATTTGTCTCCATAGTACGGAGTAATAGACAGCTTCCAAGGCTGCAATTGAATAAGTTCAATCGATAACGAAGCATTACTCTGTAGCGCTCCGTAGATACGATTACTATTAATGCACATAGTTTAATAGAAACGCTCAACGCTCGATAGATTGAAATTGCTTGCTGCACTTGAATGATCGAATAAATTGAAAGTCCCTTCCCAAATATCCCAGATAGCGCAAGATGACACGAACAAGACCAGATAAGATCGCGGTAATGACAGACACAGACAGACAGACAGACAGGACAGGTATCTAATGGAGCTGAAAATAAAATAAAACAAATAAGATAGCGGCAAAGCTGTACACCCATGACGAGAACGAGAGAGAAGCAGGCAAAACAAAACAAGGCAAAAAAAA